TCCTCTGGTCCTGAGTCGTACAATCTCAGATACATCAGAGTCCATTGGTCCTGAGCTGGAGAGTCTCAGATTCAACAGTCTACTGGTCCGAAACCAGACAGTCTCACAAGAATCTACTGGTCCGAAACTGGAAAGTCTCAAATAAAACAAATTCCACTGGTCCAAAACCAGAACGTTTTAGGTAAAACAGAGACCACTGGTCCTGAGCTGGACAGTTTCGGACACTTCAGAGCCATGTGGTCCTGAGTCGTACAATCTCAGATACATCAGAGTCCATTGGTCCTGAGCTGGAGAGTCTCAGATTCAACAGTCTACTGGTCCGAAACCAGACAGTCTCACAAGAGTCTACTGGTCCGAAACTGGAAAGTCTCAAATAAAACAGATTCCACTGGTCCAAAACCAGAACGTTTTAGGTAAAACAGAGACCACTGGTCCTGAGCTGGACAGTTTCGGACACTTCAGAGCCATGTGGTCCTGAGTCGTACAATCTCAGATACATCAGAGTCCACTGGTCCTGAACTGGACAGTCTCAGATACATCAGAGTCCTCAGTTCCTAAACCGGACAGTCTCACAATAGTCCATTGGTCCTAAACCGGACAGTCTTAGATACAACAGAGATCACAGGTCCTGAGCTGAATATTCTCAGAGACATCAGTGTCCACTGGTCCTGAGCTGGACAGTTTCGGACACTTCAGAGCCATGTGGTCCTGAGTCGTACAATCTCAGATACATCAGAGTCCACTGGTCCTGAACTGGACAGTCTCAGATACATCAGAGTCCTCAGTTCCTAAACCGGACAGTCTCACAATAGTCCATTGGTCCTAAACCGGACAGTCTTAGATACAACAGAGATCACAGGTCCTGAGCTGAATATTCTCAGAGACATCAGTGTCCACTGGTCCTGAGCTGAACAGTGTCAGATACAACAGAGTCCTCAGTTCCTAAACAGGACAGTCTCACAAGAGTCCAGTGGTCCTAAACCAGACAGTCTCAGATACAAGAGGTTACTGGTCCGAAACTGGAAATTCTCAAATACAACAGATTCCACTGGTCCTAAACCAGACATTGTTAGATACAACAGAGATCACTAGTCCTGAACTGGACAGTATCAGATACATCAGAGTCCTCTGGTTCTAAATCGGACAGTCTCACAAGAGTCCAGTGGTCCTAATTCGGACAGTCTCAGATACAAGAGGTTACTGGTCCGAAAATGGAAAGTCTCAAATACAACAGATTCCACTGGTCCTAAACCAGACATTGTTAGATACAACAGAGATCACTAGTCCTGAACTGGACAGTCTCAGATACATCAGAGTCCTCTGGTTCTAAACCGGACAGTCTCACAAGAGTCCACTGGTCTTAAACCGGACAGTCTCAGATAAAACAGAGTCTACTGGTCCTAAACCAGACAGTCTCAGATTCAACAGAGTCCACTGGTCCTGAGCTGGACAACCAGCTAGTCCTTGGAATTACCTTTTGATGTTTACCTGTGAAGAGTTGGCTTGGCTCATGGCTGATTGGTTCTCTGCCTGATTGTTCGCACCTGGGAGTGATGAGCTGATGAACTTTATAAGGCAAACTGGTCTACGCTGATGCATCTAACCTCTTAGGTAGAGTAATACCTACCACAAGTGTTTTCTAAGAATCTAAGAACTTACTTTATGCTCTTTTGTATCCAAGGTGTAAAGTTTTACCTCACCGGAACCTTCCAGTCTGGTCGCTCGCTGCTCAGTGAATCCTCCTTGCCAAAATTACAACCAAGGAACCAATCATCAAAGATTCAATCCAAAAAAATCTTCCTTTAAAGCCACTCTGCCTGAAGAACACTCATCTGTTTGGAAACCCTCCTCTGGTCCATGCTGCTTGCCTCCAAAGAACCAGTGAGAACAAATAACTTCAATAACTCCTCATTATTGAAAATACTCATTACAAGAACAAATACTCACCTCTGCACTTCACTCCTCTTTCAGCAAGACATCTCGACTTCCACCTGTAAATAATAAAATTACTTACATTTTTATCTGGCTCCTGGTCTGGTTTCTCAGCTCCGCTGCTCTGTTGAACTCTGAACCTTGTCATTAGTTGTGCAACCTATTACAACTTATAAAATAAGTGAGGAACCAGCTTGTGTTTTGGTGTCAAACCCTTCTAGCTCTTAATGCTCTGGCTGGGAGTCAAACCCAGGTCCAGGTCTCTCACAATGAGAATTCTATCACTGAATTACCACTGCTTCTGTTTGCAATGTAATAAATGACACCAAGCACAAATCAACATCAAAATGAGCTGTTTGGCAAGTTTTCTACTAAACTGATGCATTTTCCTAATTAATGTGGCAACAAAATGTTTTTTACAATCATAAGAAGACTTTTAACAACATAGAAATGACAGACTAAATATACATTTACTAGTATTAAAGGACAATATTGGCTGCATTTGTGATTCTAGGATGATTACAGGTCCTGGTCAAACAATTAGTTCATAGTGAAACTTGTATAATATAGTCATTCATTACACACAGACTGATGTATTTCACGTTTATTTTGTTTAATTGTGATGATTAACTGACAACTAATGAAAACCCTAAATTCAGTATCTCAGAAAATTAGAATATTGTGAAAAGTTCAATGCTACTTAACTCAAAACACCTGCAGAGGCCTTTAAATGATCTCAGTCTAGTTCTGTAGGCGACAGAATCATGGGGTTAGACTGCTGATTTGACAGTTGTCCAAAAGACGACCACTGACACCTTGAACCAGGAGGGCAAGACACAAAAGTTCATTTCTAAAGAGGCTGGCTGTTCACAGAGCTCTGTGTCCAAGCACATTAATACAGAGGTGATTTCAGAATTCAGAAGAGCTGAAGGCCACTATCAGAGCAACCTGGGCTCTCATAACACCTGATCAGATCCACAGACTGATGGACTCCGTACCACGCTGCACTGCTGCAGTAATCCAGGAGAAAGGAGCCCCAACTAAGTATTGAGTGTTGTATGCTCATACTTTTCAGTTGGCCAACATTTCTCAAAATACTTTTTTGTATTGGGCTTAAGTAATATTCTAATTTTCTGAGACACAGAATTTGGGCTTTTCTTTAGTTGTCAGTTATAATCATCAAAAATAAATATAAACATTACAATAAACATTTGAAATATATCAGTCTGTGTGAAATGAATGAATATAATACACAAGTTTCGTTTTTTGAATGAAATTACTGAAATAAATCAACTTTTTCATGACATTATAATTTTATTACCAGCACCTGTAAACTGTGTTTATAATTTTATTTGAATGTTAAAAGATTCTGACAAGAATCTTTATTTTGCAGAAAGTAAACATGGATTTGGCTCCATCTAGTGGACATATTGAAATACTACAACAACAAACAGACTAAGCTTACAGGAAAGACACAATGCTTACCTAAAAACTTATAATGGGTGTTATAAAGGATATAACTAAAAACCTAGAGAATCTGCATTTCCAGCTAAAATGCTAGTGTGAATGCCTCTTGCTGATAACTTTAGCTGAAGAACAGCTAAGAAACAAACTGATGATGTCACAGCTGCACAGACAGGCAGCCCCATTCAAAGTAACTGTTAAAAAAGTGAAATAGCTAGTAAAAAAGTATAAAAAGTTAAGATACAATAAGTCATTGCCAGAATGACAAGAATGATCTGAACATTTTGATATATGAATTGTAAAAACAGCACAAAAATTGTGGAAGTAGATATGGTCTAAATAATAAAGAGAAACATGAAAACAGTGTGAAGCTGTTAAACCCCTGTTAAAACTGGACCTCATCTTTGAATTTTCTCACATAAAATATCAAACATATTTCACTGTAAGTATACATTTGTTGTTTAAAAGGGATCCCTGACTAGTTGCAACATTAGACTTATAATGCTATAAGACACTATACTGCCTTATGTGTGTTAGCTCAGTGCTAACGAGACAAACAAGCTAAACTGAAGTCCTCTATCCATATTTTCAGTTACAAACTGTGAGTTTTGAAACTTTTGGTTTAAAAATGATAAAACTAAAACAGTATTTTTACAGTCTTTATTTTACAGTTAAAATGCATTTTTATTAAATAAAGTGTAATGTTAAAACTAATCACGGATCCCTTTAAATGATGTGATGTTATGTGCAGGACGACTTCTTCACAGCCCGTACAAACTGTGAAAACTTACCTCAGATCTGTGGATGTTTGTGAGGCTCACACAGGGCCAGGACACCTGCTGGTTCTGAGTCCAGGGTACCAGGTGAGACCCACCGAGGGGGGGTGGTCTTCCAGGCAGTGCAGCAGGAAGTCTTTCCACGGTGACCTCGGCAAACTGTTTGATGAAATCCAACATTAAACTACACTGAACCTCCTCTGSGTTCATAGCAGACAGACTTTCTACATGTTCTTTTCACATGTCTGAAGTAGCCATCGATAAAAAATAGAATAAAAAAAAAACTATAACCGTTACTGGAGTATTTGGAGCGTTCCTCGTTCGACGCAAGGCCCTTGCCGGACGTTGATTTGGACCGCTTCACCTGAAACGAGTAGGAAAATCATCTGTTCTTATCCACGCTGCATTTTCTGACGTTTCTTAAATAAATAAAAGCGAAAAAAATAAGCTAAAACTCTTGAGTACACCTCTGTCCGTCTACTTCAAAGGGCTTTTAAAGAATAACAAGCTCCTAGCAGAGGTGACGAACATGACGTCAGTCAAAAAATGTGCCTCACGTTTGTAGCTCCGCCCAAAAACGTGACCTGTCTTAACCGTTTTTGTTGCTATGAGATGATGGAACTTTAGGCACCTGCCGTCAGAACGTCAGGCGGCTCACGTTCAAGTGCGTCGGTCATGTGACGTCAGCACGCAGCTTAGCTTATTAGCTTAGCGAGCTACCTAGAGACGCTGTAACTTGTATCTACAACAGTGGTTCCCAAACTTTTTGTCTTCTGACCCACAAAATATTCATGGCAAAAACTTGTGACCCCAAATATTACTAGTCTGAGTACATGAACTTTGTTTATAACCCTAAAAACACAGCTTTTTGACAATCTAAACCGCTTATACACAAAAATAAATACTTATTTTTACTTATTTTATGTTTTTGTAATAGTTATAGGGAAAATATTACATCAGCGATTATTTTATTA